CAAATATAATACACCACGAATACTACCTGGAATCATAATTAGGAATCTGGACTTAGATAATCTGTTCAAGAAAAATCACTCGGGACTATCTGCTCCGAGATCGTCTACTTTATTCGAAAGGTTCAATGCAAAAATCAAGGAGTCACCGAACTTGTTGCTGCAATATCTCTGAAAGGACAAAACCTTTTTCAACCAAATTTTTACCATAGAAACTGCAATACATAAGGATGTTTTTGAGAAATTTTGGTGAATGGGTTTTCTCAAATATGCGAGTTATTGAAATTTTAACTTTTTCAAAATTTTTCGATTTTCTCATTTTGAGCTCATGTTTTGTGTTTTTCNATAAGCATTGAGCTCATTTTGAATAAATCCACGCTGTTTCGTACACAATTTAATGGAGAATTTATTGGTGAAAACCGTTTGTCAATACCTTTTTTCGTCGTTAAGTTATAACATTTTTAATTGGAATTACTCCATGTTAGAGACCTTGTCGGAAAAAATTGATTTTCTCACCAAAGACAAGCGACTCTTGAGAATCGAGAACAGATTTCGGATGTGTCCAACAATACTCTATCTATTTATGATAAAATAGTTTAATTTTGAAAGGGGCGGATTTCCCAAATCCGGCGGGGTCCTTTATGGGCTTATATAAATTAGAAAACTTAGTTTTCTACTGTCAAAGCAAAGACAAGACAGTATTTTCTTAAGCAAGTTTTCGTTTCGCACATCTTCTTATATTTAATTGTTTTAGAAAAACAAATTTCAATGAGAGGACAAAAAGAAACGAAGAAAAAGTTGCCGAATTTTACACTGAAATATTTCTTGATTAACTGATTTAAGATTATTTCATAAAAGCTCAGAATTGTCAATGTCATTTTTCATTTTCTTCTTCGGTTACGAGCGTGGAATCGGCCATAGTGACAATAGGTTCTTTGATTTTCTCCAATTTTTGCATACCATACTCGATCTTTTTAAATGAATCTTTAATGGATCCTTCTAAGTCATTCATTTTTTGTTGCGCTTCTTCAAGTTTATCAATTTCTTCATGCGTCCAGTAAAATCCGGGAGAATGACCAATAACATTTGCGGCTTGAAGACCACCATTTGCAATAAATAAACCTCTTGCTAAGTTAGGCAGCATGACAGGTGTGGCGACGAATTGTACAATGGTAGCACCAACGTTCAATACCGATAGTCCAGCACCAACAGCGTGATTTGTTCGATTTGATGGGCGCTTTTCCAAATGGTGTTTAATACCTTTCAAAATCATTTCCAACTCTTTTTGTGCATACTCCCTTTCGGATTTTGCTCTGTTCAAATTGAGATGAATCATTTCCAATGTATATTTTTCTGGACGAGTTTGAGATGTATTCTCTGTTCGATTAAATTCATCATTGGCTTTTGTCCAAAATTCTTTCGCTTTGCGAAGATGTCCTTCAATTCGCATTATTGTTTGTTGCAAGTTAGATGATTTACGAAATTGTTCGGCTTCTCGAATTAAACGACACGTATCGTATAATGTGCCAAGCATTGCCACTGTTTGAGCAGCCGCTTTTAAAGTTTCCGCAATTACTATATTTTGTAGAGCGACATCTGCCGATATGCATGTAGTGCAATAATTCTCTATGTGTATTTCTAGGATATCTTAGGCCTCTGCAAAATGGGCGCTAAGCTAACTCTTAATCTTTCCTAGTTCACGGTGGCATCGGATTTCCTGAGAGGCTCAATATTTCTTTCGGTGTAGTAATTCCGAAAATAAATGTAAATATAGGTAATCGACCGCGCTGAATCTCGTGGCACTATCTGTTTTTCAAAACAGTTTCAAAAACCTAGTGAAAACCTATATTAGATGAAATAACCCATTTTTGCTTATTTTTGAGTAAAACTAAAAAATTCATAATCCAGTCAAGATCCATCCAGATTATGTCAGAATACCAAGGAGTACTCTCTTTTACCTGTTCAATACGAGTTTTTACTTGACAATAGTGAAAAACATTTTTGTACTTCGGAAAGTTTCTAGAAAACCTTTTCAAAAACCAATTTTTGTTGATTTTCAAAGCTTTAATTGAACTCCATGGTATTAAGCAGGTAAAATACAGTACATCTTGGTATTCCGGCATAATTTGGATGGATCTTGACTGGATTATGAAGTTTTTAGTTTTAGTCAAAAATAAGCAAAAATGGCTTATTTCACCTAATATAGGTTTTCACTAGGTTTTTGCAAGTGTTTTGACAAAAAAATATTGCCGCAAGATTCAAAGTGGTCAATTTCCTACGTTTGTATTTATTTTTGGAATTACCACAATCAAAATTCAGTTAAATTGAAAAACGTATCAAATTCAGCTGTTTTCCCCGTGCGAATGGTTCACGTTCATACAGACGAGGCAAAGCTTACCAGTTCTAGTTCTTTTTGAAGGAAGAACTGTTGAACATGCCGAAGCTGTGTTTCTGGTGATCGATTATTTATTTCAAATTAAAGGACCGGTGACTGTTTCTTGAACAACTCGCGAACGAAATACGATAGAGATTTGCTGCGTTAACTATCCGATAGCCAAGAGTTTAGTGCATCTGTTCATAAGCAAACACCATTCTAAGGATACTAAACTCTTTCACGAACGACCTTTCCGCTAACGTCCACGAATGAAAATCAGATTGGAATTCTAATTTGTGCGACTAAAGCGTTATAACCGCACGTTGAATGTGACATAAGATAACAGAAGAATGATGTATTATAAGGATAATTCGACTGTGAGCGCTGGATCGATGTCCTCGATTTATGCCAGACAACAAATAATATTGTCGTAGGTTATCATCGATACGAAAATTCGTAACTACATTTTGACATCTGTAGCCAGGGGCGGCGGAGCGTTTTGAAATTTGGTAAGGCTCAGGCTTGACGGTTTTTGCGTTCTTTGGAAGACGAAAAAACCTCATAACTTGGTGGATGATCAGCATTCGGTAAGAGCATACAAAATTAGTGGTCCCTATCTATCATGGTTCTTGAGTTACAGGAGGCTCGCAATTTTTGCGGAGTACTGTATCGAAAATTTCTTGATATTCATGGCCACTTCTACTGTACAGAGAATACATGACGAATAAAACCGAATCTAATGAATAAGCATTTGAAACAGTATAGATTTGACCATCCAATACACATCTATTTATTCCATATTTTGGCCAGTGTAAAGCTGAACCAAGTAATGAAGTTGTTTTCATACATGATGGTAACGGTGTTTTACTTGTTGATTTAATTTTTTGACGTTTATGTTTCGAACACGTAGCAATATGCATTGTTGTAGCTGAATGAGGAGCACGTATTTGGTGGTTTTGCTTTATTATTTTCTTTAGAAGATGAACTAGATGATGATGCCGTTCGTTTTTTTGGCAGACCAGGATATCTACGTTGCATATATTCCGGAAGAATATGCTCTCGATAGAAGTTAGGAAAGAAAAGCATCATTGGCCAACGGTACGTTTGTTTGATAGCACGACGAGTCGTATTAGGCAATGCGCCTGAATAGAAAGCCGGGCAGACCTTTGCTAGCATAGATTTCACGTGTGACAGGTACACTATTACGTGATGCTGTTGGATTTGCTTGCCATCGTGTTCGAATAGTATCGAGCGAATGTTCAATAGGAAGACCACCAATTGCACGACTAACAACGACCATTCTAGCAAAGCTGGGGCACTCGGCTCACGAGGGAACCTCCGGAGGTGATAAATCGCTTTTTGATCGACATCTAGTGGGTTATAGGTTATCGACCATGCTGATTCCGAATATGACCATGGGACTTCCCCATAGCTCTTCGAAGATCCAGTCTTCTGGAAAACCAGTTTT